GGGACTCCAGGATCATGACCTGAGCCGAAGGCAGTCGCTTAACCAACTGAGCCACCGAGGCATCCCTCAAATGAAACAATTCTATGTCCGCATTCTTCGCGGGTTTTAATTTTGTCTTTATGATGGAGAGTGGGAAAAAAAAAACAACTTTGGGAAAGTAATAAAGTAATATTAGTATTTATAGTTAGGCTGTAACTATTGTTAAGTAATAGAAAATGTGTATTGGCCTCGCCCCCTGGTTCTTGGTACAGAGCTCCTAAAGCCCGGGTAATTTTCTGAGTGATAAGAACACTAGGAACATCTTTTGTTCTAATATTTGGTCTTTGACCCTGGCTTGGGACACAGAGCTCCTAAATCCTTTGGAATTTCCTGGGTGATAGGAGTGTCTTTTGTTCTAATCGGTGACTCTTGATGGGCTTCTGGATGGAGGCTGGTCACCAGAAAGACCCAGCCATGATTGGAAGCTTGGAATTTTCAGTCCCCCCACCCCTTCCCTTTCTCTGGGAAGGGGAGAGGGACTAGAGATCGGGTTAATCGGATCATGCCTATGTGATTAAAGCCTCCATAAAAATCTCCAAAAGTATGGGGTTCAGAGAGCGTCCAGGTTGGTGAGCGCATCCACGTGCCAGGAGGGTGGTGCACCCCAAATCCAGGGCCCAGAAGCTCCTGCTTCCAGAACCGTCCCAGTCCGGTCCATGCCCTATGTATCTCTTCATCTGGCTGTTTATCTGTATCCTTTACGGATCCTTTATTGTACAATAAACCGCTAAACATAAGTGTTCCCCTGAGTTTTGTCAGCGACTCTAGCAAGTTATCGAGCCCAAGTCCCAGTTTATAGCTGCTTGGACAGACGTACCAGTAACAACCTGGATTTTCTACTGGCTTCTGAAGTTGGGCAGGGCAGTCTGGTGGGACTGAGCTCTTAACCTGTGGCATCCGACACTAAATCCAGGGAGATGGTGTCAGGACTGAGTTAAGTTGTAAGACACCCTGCTGGTGTCAGAGACTTGGTGGGTGTGGGAATAAACCCACATATTGGCGTCAGAAGTGTTGTGAACGTGGTAATTACCACTGTCACAGCGGAGGGGACACACAGTGGTGTCTCTCCTATACAACTGTAAATATAATCGTTCCCATTGTTTTCGATAAGAAAACACAAAACAGATGTAATTGCCTAGTAGATGGACTGATACTTAACATTTACTCGCTGTGCACCACTGCTGGGTGCTGACAAGCCATTAAGTAGGATCATATCCTGTGTGGATGCGGCTCCCAACTGTGAGGAGTGTCTGACATGAAGCCCTACTCCTCTCTCTAAAGCTTTACGGGGGGAAAAAAAAAGTCAAGGCTATAGAACAGGCTTAAAGGATCAGGAAAATTGCTTAAAAAACTGGAAAGTCGTATGTATGACAAAGGAAAGTAAATTCAAGGTGGGATTGATGTTAAACATTTAAAAAATAACAGCATGAATAATTTCCTCTCCACTAAAAACATGCTCCTCAATTGTAGTAGTAAGGATTTAAGTTAGACACTAATTATTTGTGCGCTCATTTAACAAATACGTGTTGTGTGCTTGCTATGCTGTTGCTGTTGGTATTAATAAAACTTCCAGGGGCACTGGGCTGGCTCAGTCAGTAGAGCATGCGATTCTTGATCTTGGGGTCAGGAGTAGAGTTCACTTTAAAAAAAATTTTTTTTTTTTTTAAAGATTTTATTTATTTTTTAGAGAGCGAGCGAGAGAGAAACAGCATGAGAGGGGAGAGGGTCAGAGGGAGAAGCAGGCTCCCCGCTGAGCCGGGAGCCCGATATGGGACTCGATCCCAGGACCCTGGGATCATGACCTGAGCCGAAGGCAGACGCTTAACCATCTGAGCCACCCAGGCGCCCTAAAAAAATTTTTTTTAAACCCCACAAATTTCCACTTAGTTAGTGCCTTGTGCTTTGCCCTTTATATGCATTATCTCTTTTAACTTTCCAAACAACCTAAGTATTAGCATCTTTAATTTCCAGATGAGGGAAACATTAGAGAGGTTGTGCAACGTGCCCAAAGTCACACAGCTGGTGGGCTGTGGGCCCTGGATTGAAACCCAGGTGCATCTGGCTCCATAAGGCTTGCTCTCACCCCAGGTGCATCTGGCTCCATAAGGCTGCTCTCACCCCAGCAATATGTGCCACCCAGTGCCTAACACTGACCTCTAGGCCAAGGGCAGCATTGAAAACGATTAGTTAGGGTCTCTGCCCTCCAGGAATTTTTAACTATAGCAAATACACTTCCATAGATGGTTCAGGATGGGCGCAGAGCCTTATGACAAGGAGAGTGGATACATGCAATGTGTTAAAATTTCAGAGTGAGTGATCCTTTATGAACAGGCTTAATGCACAGGTAGAAAAATATGGCCTGAGACTTGAAAACAGTAAGCGTTTCAGTTGGTGGCCTTGGTGAGGAGACAGTCCAGCCAGGAATGTTATAAGTAATGGCTCAGAGGAGAGACAGTGCAAGTGTATTCAGAGAACAGGAAGTTCATATAGGGAAGAAGTATTGGAAAAGAACATTAGATTCTCTTATTAAAGAGACTATATTTTATTCTCTGGGCAATGAGAACTCACTGAAGCTTTCTGAGCAAGGGACTGACCCGATGAAGACTGTCCTCGGTGTTCTGCCAGGGCAGTCTAATACAAGTGAGGCCTGGGATGGAGGGAGAGCGGTCTGCAGTAGTCTGGCAGGAATAAGGAAGGGTCTAAGTTAATGGGAAGCAGAGAGAAGAGAAAGGATGCTGGACACATGAAAGGATGTGAATCCAAGACCACAACTTATGAATTTGAGAACAAAGAAAAACAACGATTTCTTGGTGGGTCTTCAAAAGGTGTGTGTGTTTGTATGTGTGTATCTTAATTTATCCAGGCTTCTATAACAAAAGCACCATAGACTGGGTGGCTTATAAACAACATAAATTTATTTCTCACAGTCCTAGAAGCTGGGAAGTCCAAGATCAAGGTTGCAGCAGATTCATGTCTGGCAAGAGCCCACTTCCTGGTTCATTGACCGCCATCTTCTTACTGAATCCTCACATGGTTGTAGGGGCAAAGAAGCTCTCTGGGGTTTCTTTCATCAGGATGCTAATCCTATTCATGAGGATGTGCCCTCATGACCCAGTCACCTCGCAAAGGCCCCCCCCCCTTTAAATATCATCACCGTGGGGATTGGGCTTCTATATATGGATTTTGCAGGGACACAAACATTCAGTCTGTGGCAATATCCTTGCAACTCAAAACGTCTATAGACCAACAAGATTGGTATTGCCTGTGAGTTCACTGCACTTGGAGAATCTCTGACCCCACCTCACACCTATTGAATCATGTCTACCTGTTAACAAGATCCCTAGGTGATTCATAGGCGGTTTGGGAAGCACTGGTCTGTTTTCTTATAGAAATGACCTGTGGTCACAAAAAGTTAATGTTGATTGAATTTAACATAGTATAGAATTTAATACAGTATAGTATAAAGCTAATTCTATAATATACTGTCTGTATAAAATTAATAAAATAGTCTCTAATTTTGTGTTACATGAACTCAATTGGTAAGAGAAAAAGAAAAAAAAGAGGACAAATTGGCATAATCCAGGGTAGCCTGTCCATGGGTCCTCATCACAGAGGTCGGGCAGCTGGTCAGAGAGTGTGGCTGAGAATCAGAGCAGTAAACACTGGAGTAAGAGAGTTCCG